AGTGTCACTGGCCCTCATATGTGGGATCCGAACCGGGGCCCTCTGGCGTCCCAAGCCAGCTCTTAACCACCGTGCCACTCGGCCGGCCCTCAAGTTTACTTTTAAATGAACTTGATTTTCAATGATGTAAAAGTTTAGCATATTCAAAAACTTAAATCGAAAAGAATGGAGAAAGCACACCCTAAAATTGAATACAAACAGCATCAGTGAACCCAAATGTATATCAAATTGATAACCTCACACAAATTAATTCAAATAACTTTTAAGCATAATTCTCTGTACCCTTTAGTGGGGTATAATAAGGATAAAAAGGAACCGCAAAGAAAATTTGAACTTAACTAACAGATTTGTTATTGGTTGTGTAACAGATTTGTTATTGGTTGTAGTATTGGTGTAATAATGTTGAAACTAGTTTGTAAGTAGAGCAAATGAGTTGGGAACCAAGGTTCGCATTGTAGAGTAGGGAGATATGTGTGATGGGGGAGGGGCAAGAAAGAAAGGTGTTGAATTTGAATCAATATTTTTTGGAAACTATTTCCTAGATCTGTCCACTGAAAAGTTTTAGAAGCAGTGACACCCAGTAGTTATGAGCATACCTAATTAATTCCCAGATCGTGATTAGAAAATATCATTCTTCATCAAAAGAAGCCAGAACTCAACCTGATAGTTGTGGCAGCTGCAGCTCAGCTCCATGTCCAGTCACCACTTTCAATCTTTGGTGGGGGGTGGGGAGGGCTGGGTGGCGCAGCCCACCATCCCATGTGGGAATCAAAAAAAAAAAAAAAGAAGAAGCCAGAACTCCTTGGGGAAATGGGGGATTTCACTCACAAGTGAATCTGGAGCGACTTTTTTGTACCAGAAAGTAAGGAATTGTTAAAGACTAATGGGGTCATACTGAAGGAAGCCTGCTTGAAGGGATCCCCCCTGGCCAAAATCACCATTTTGTAAACTCCAGCAAAATAATTGATTTGGGCAAGATCAGCAATTAATGCTGAAACCATAGGGTAAAAGGTTATTGTGAAACAGGATGTTCGCATGACTTCAAAGATTACTAATATGCTATTTGTAAAGGAACCTTTACAGCAGAAGGATATGGCAGACACAGAGGTACCTACCAAGAATTCAAAGTCAGCATGACAAATAATGGGACCAGCTGACGTTAATGTGCCTCATGATTTGATGCAGTAGGAAGTACACATCACCCTTGTAATATTCTTGCCAAGAAGACTGGACCTGAATCTAGTCATCAGAAAGCACTCAGACAAATTTAGATTGTGGGGAGTTCTCCTAAGATTACAGATCTGTAGCCTATAAAATCAATATCATGAAAGACAGAAATAAATAAAGATAAGGATGCACCGTTCTAGACTAAAGGAGATAGAGACATGGCAACTAAATGCAAAGTATGATCCTTGAATGAATGAATATAAAGTACATTTCGAGGACAATTTTTGAAAATCATATATGGATGATATATTAGATTGTTATTTTATTGTTATCTTTCTTGGTTTTAAAAATGGAAGTATGTAGAACTTTTTTGTTCTTAAATGATACATGATCAAGTATTGAAGCGAAGTATCATGATAAATTGCTTTCAAATGGGTCAGAGAATAAAGCAGATATATATTGAAAGAAAAAGAAGAGGGGAGAGAAAGCAAATGTGTCAAAATATTAAAAACTGATGTATCTTCCTGATAATCTGTAGAACCCCCTTTCTTTAAATTTTGCATATCATGTTTCTTCCCTCATTAGTTTGACAGAAGCTGCTATTTCACTCTCACCCTACACACGTGTGTGCAGTCACACACACACACTACCCTCGAACCCAACCTTACATACAATATAATGCACTACAAAGAATGTGGGCTTTAGAATGAAATGTAGGTTTAATTCATTATAACGCCACTTTGTTCATTCAACAAATGTTTATTGAATTACCTGCCAGGTGCCAGGCAGTAGGCAGTATGCAGCGGTTTTCATAGGGAACAAAAGAAGCTTATAGTGGAGGAGAGAGTTAATAAATAAACACATAAAAAATATACAAAACTGCGATACATGCTATTGAAAAAACTCCAAGTACTATAAACAAGAATGATAGATGATATTTAACTTAGATTGGGGGATGGTCAGAAATACCTTTCCTGCAATGTGATCTTGAGCAAAAATTATTTGAATTCTGTAAGGGTTGGTTTTCTTATCTCTAAAAATGAGGATAACTTTCTTTATCATTCGTGAAAACTAAATGTGATAATGTTTAAAGTACCTGGCACATAGAGAGGAAATTCAGTAAATAATATCGGCCTTCTTTTTAGAAACTGCTTCTTCTCTCACAGGACTCCAGTTCAACTGTTTTATTTGGTTCATTTGCTGATACTCCGTAACCTTGTCTTTTTGGTTCCACAGGGCTCGGAATGGAATGCCTCGAACTTAGAGGATTTACAGAACCGAGGGTAAGTAAGCATCACTGCTTTATCTTTATCTTTTCCAGTCCAAGAGATGTTAAGAGTAACTTTAAGCTTAAGAGTTACTTCCCGTTGATTCTAATCAGGTATAATCTCATAGAAACTAAAACCACTGTTCTCCCACTATTTCATCCTACCCCCTCCCCCCCGCTCAGCAAGAAAGATCAGCTGTTTCAGTGGAAAGGCTTTCAAAAACAACTATGTAAGCCTTTCCTGCTGTTTAAAACCAAATGCAGTTATTGGTTCCTTTTCTGTTTGTTTGTTTAATTTTTTTTAGAGCAATTTAAGGATTCACGCACAATTGAGGGGAAGGCACAGAGACTGGCCATATAACCACCACCTCCACTCCCACCCCTGCATAGCCTCCCCCATTATCAGCATCTGCACCAGAGTGGTGCATTTTTAAAAACTGACCCTACATTGACACATCATAATCACCCAAAGTTCATAACTTATGGTTCACTCTTGGTGGTGTACTTTCTGTGGCTTTGGACAAATGTATAATGTATCCATCATTATGGTATCACAGAGTATTTTCACTGCCCTAAAAGCCTTCTAGGCTCCACCCATTTATCCTCCCACTCCCAACCACGGCAACCACTGATCTTTTTACTGTTTCCATAATTTTGCCTTTGGTTCCTATTTTTATGTAAGAGTATGCAGAACTGCGTGTGTTGGGTTCACGGCTGTTCATTCACCACTTATTGAGCATCTTCTCTTCCAAGCACACTGCTAGGTGCTAGGGATCCAAAGACAAATGAGACTCAGTCCCTGCCCTTTTATAGTAAAGTGCTTGAAGACTAAGTAGGTTATAAATGTAAAATGAACAACCTTCTGAAATTGAACAAGAAGACGTGGCCTTGTATTAAGAAGTGTGCTTCTGAGCTGCGTGGTTATTGAGTTTTATTGTAGCAGTTGAGCCCACACTGAACATTCGGCAAGCAAAAAGCTGCCCTTCTCCCCTTTTTACTTCATAGCTATTGCCTGAATTTTTCATTGAATTTGGCCTTAAGAGGTCATATCATCTCAAAAAGAGAAGAGAAAATCATGTCTGGAAATTGGCCGTGCTAACTCTTTATTGTGGAGAGAGATCAGACCTACTGAGCCTCAGAGAGAGTGATGGCTGCCTGGCTGGTTTGCTGGCTGCCTGTTTTCTCAGCTACAAGTCAGCCTTCTGGTTATCTTTAACATGATTAAATGCATACTCCCTACTTTTCCCCCAGAAGAAGGGTATCTCATAATTGATAAAATGAACTTGGGAGCAGGACTTAAGCCAAATGATTATTTAAAACAAAACTGTTCCAGGAGGATAATCTGTCTGGTTACTTAATTTAAGATATGAAAATAAATAGAATTTGGAAAGTTTAAATTGATAAGGATTAAGTCTAGAGTTCTTGAAAGCAGAGACTGTATCTTAGTCTTGTGTAAAACATACATCTACCTAGCTCGGAGCTTTATTCCAAGAGGGAGCTCAGTGAAGCTGAAGGAAGGATAGAAAAATTGACAGACAGACTTGCAGTAAACTAGCACCCAGCCTAGATACCATATTTACTATGAAACCTGAGGTCTGCTATAGCAGTGCTTGCCAAATGCATTAGTAGCACATCATACATACACACACTTTGACTTTAGAACACACTCAGATGTTTGACTTACAACCCCAGCTGGAGATGAGACCTATTCATCTCACGTTCTACTTACAAGGCTGAATTACAAAATACGGATATATACGACAGTATGGTTGGATAGTCAGACATCTACTTGTTTCCTAAATTGACTGGCTCTTAAACTTGAGTGGATGAAGAATTACAGTTCAGAGGTCTATACGCAAAAACCTGAGTACTGCTCCCTGTGGGTGATTTAAGGGATCTTCAAGTGTGATTTTGACATTAAGGCCATTTTCAGCCGATTACTGACTTTAGAACCCCAAGTGAAATGCTACTCCATGATCGCAAAGAAGTTTGAAGGAGGCCAGTTCCATTTGGTCGTGGCTGCCTAGGGAAGTGGGCTTGCCTACTTTTATTGAGCTATAATTCACATACTATACAGTTTACCCATTTAAAATATACACTTTAATGGTTTTTAATGTATTCACAATTGTGCAACAAGCAATTTAAAATATTTTCAACCCAAAAAAGAAAGGCCTGTACCCTTTAGCAGTCACTCCATTTCCCGTCTTCCCTTTATCCCCTAGAAACTAATATACTTTTCGTCTCTATAGATTTGCCTCTTCTGGAAATTTCATTTAAATGGAATCATACAATATGTGATTTTTTTTTTTTAAGAATGGGTCTTTTGGGTTTTTTTTTTTACTTTATGTTTTCCAGGTTTATTAATGTAGATGTACTAGTACTTTATTCCTTTTTCATTGCCAGATAATATTCCATAATATACCACATTTTTTGTGTATCCATTCATCCATTGATGGAAATTTAGGTGTTCCCACTTTTTGGCTATTATTAATACTATTATGACCATTCATGTACAAATTTTTAGGTAGACTTATGTTTTCATTTCTCTTGGGTATCTACCTAGGAGAGAAATTGCTGCATCCTATGGTAACTCTGTGTTTAACCTTTTGGGGAACTGCTAAACCATTTCCCACAGTTGCATGTGCTTATTTTTAAAATTAAAAAGAAAAAAAAATCCTTTCTAGTAATGGACTTTAATGCTAAGTTAAAACAGATTCAAATGATGTCCCAGAAAAATCTTAGTCTCTTAACCACAGAACTGGTTAGCAATGGCTCTCCCTTTCTGTAGTCGTTTATCTGACTGCAGAGACTGGGTTTGTAGAACCCCACGGGTAGCTCTGAGAATGAAGCAGCATCTGCAGGGAGAAGTGAGTGAGCCTGTGTTGTGGTGTTGGAGTAAACTCCAGTGATGTGTAAGTCCACACCATTGAGAAGATAACCCTTTGGCATATTAAACCCAAGCATTTATTGAGATTGCACCGTGAGAGAGATAGCAGAAGAAATTTTTGATACAGAAACCCTTTTCTACAGGCCTCTCAGTATGGGAGAACTCTCAGACACGTTTGCTGCCATAGCAGCCAGGAATGCTGCCTAGAGAGTTAAGAGAATTTTAAATCCAACTTTCTTCTGATCCTCCCAGCCCTGGCCTCATGTACATTTCATGTAGTTTAGAGAGAGGAATAGACTGACAATCTGGCATTTAGGAAGATAGGAGATAAATATTTCCTTTTCTGGTTTTTTTGTTTTGTTTTGTTTTTGTTTGTTTGGGGGGGGGGGTTGAGGTACATGGTTTAACACAAATGATTTCCAAAGAATAAGTTATGTTGCCAGTAATTTTAGTGACTGAAGAGGAATTTTCAAATCTTGGGCCTCAAGTTGATTCTTTGGATTAAAATATGAGACTTGTTTTCAAAAGACTGTAAAAAATGAGATTATGTAACTGCATAAACTAAAAATGGAATTTAGATGTTGAACTTGGTAGACAACTTTTCTTGTAATATCTCCCTAGTTCCCAGGTATGCTCACAGTTTCTGGACTACATAAATACACCTCTTAATTGTTTAGCTTTCTTCAGTCTATTTGATTTCAGCCTAGGGAGTGAATGCATTTTAAATAAGAAAACAGTGCTAGAAATTGCGTTTAGCCTGAGTAGCAGAGCCCATATTCTCCCTTGGTTTCCTCACAGGGTGCGGTATATCTTGAATGTCACTCGAGAGATAGATAACTTCTTCCCAGGAGTCTTTGAGTACCATAACATTCGGGTTTATGATGAAGAGGCAACAGATCTCCTGGCTTACTGGAATGACACTTACAAATTCATCTCTAAAGCAAAGTGAGTATCGGGCCCCGAACACACATTTTTACCTGTTCCTTGTGCACCACACAATGGCTGAAGCCTGAAAGCTATGGATAACTTACTGATGATACTCAGGGGGGAAAAGGAAGTAGAGAACAAGAGAATCCTGAGATTTCTTAGTCCTAGGGCGAAGATGACTTAGTGATGAAGCCCCTGGAAGAAAAGGACCTCATGTTGACTATTTCCACTGAGCAAAAAGTTAAATAAACTTAAGTGGCAGCAAAAGAAATAGAAATGAGAAAAAGAAAACATTCTGAACAAAATGCTTAATAAAGTTGCCAATGGGTACCTTTGGAAATTATATAATAGAAATTATTATTCCAGATAAATGGAATACTGAGTCCTCCTTTCTGAAGACAAGAGATAAAAGTAGTGAGCTTTGGAAATCTTTTCTCATTTTAATTATTTTTTTTACTTTATTTTTATGAAACTCTAAATTGTGAAATTTTTTTCTGGCCTTTCTGTTAATGTCTTCCTTAAATTAATTGGTCCCTTTTAAAAATTTAATTGGCCCTTTTAGTGATGCTCTTTACTGGTATTATTTTAGTGTTGAGTATAAATGAATATTAATATGTCAGCACTGACTTTTTTCTTTTAAGTCCTTGGGGATCACTTTGCCCACCCGCTTGATGCCTTCAATGGAAGGCACCATGAATGAGCATGGTGGCCACACTTCCCCCTCTGGCGGGACCACATTCACATCACCCTGGCAGATGAGAAACACTTCTGTTTTTAAAGTCCTCCTTCGAGAATGATCCCATACTTCTCTTAGGGACCATGATCAGGAAATGCTTCCTTTTAGTTACCCTGAATTCCCATGCTCTAGCTTTTATCTCATTCTCTCTGAAATAGCATTTTACATTCTTGAAAGCTTTTATTCAATTATTCCCAGTAATAATACCACTCACGGAATAATGCTTACTATGTGCCAAGTACTTTACATGTATTCTCTCATGTAATATTTTCCAAAACCCAGAGAGGCATGTATTGTCATCCTTCCGTATAGATGTGGACAAACTGTAGAGATGAGGTTCCGAAAGGTTAAGTAGCAAGTGGTGAAGATAAGGCTTGAACCAAGATCATGTCTCATTTCAGAGTCCATCCGGATCTAGGAATAGTCTAGTCCCTTAAGGAAAGAGGACTGGGAAAGACTAGGCAAGTTGTTCAGGTCACAGCTAAAGAGACTAGAGTTCAAGGTGAGGCCCCCTGTCCCAGTGAAAAGAAAGGCGGATCTCAGCAGGGCTGGGATTCGGGTGAGATACACGAGGTGCCCGGGTTACATTTAAGCAGGCACTCACTCCCTCTCAGGCTCCTGCTCCCTCTCAGGTCAGCATCTGAGAGTGGATGCCTCCTGGGCAGCTCATGTGTTTCACTCTAAATCAGGGCCCTAAATTCTAGACTCGATATACAAATGGGTAAGTTTAGGATTACTAGCATGATGCCAGGCTTAACCTGGACAGTCCAGCAGGGGCGTGGGGGGTGTTGCAGGGTGGGTGTTAGACCTGAAAGGCACTCATAAAGTTGGGTGAGGTGAGAACTGACTTGAGATCCTTTACTACATGAGTTAGAAGCCATCCACTGAAAAAACCCGATTCAAAATGATGGAATGTTTTCATGGGAGTGGATTTCATAACTGTCTTTTCTTGGGATTGTCCAGGATTGAGCACTTTCCATGCCTGCAGGCGTGGATCTGAAATGAAATGCATTAATGTCGTCAAAGCTTGATAGGAGCATATAGAGCACATGTCCTGAGTCGCTGTGTGTTGGCTTCCCAGCTGTGGTAGAAATGAAAACCCTATGGTGCCATCAACAAAACAAGTATTTCCTAGTCATTTGGGATAACCTAAGCACACAGACACACACAAAGCACCAATCTTAGAACACCAAAATTTTGCATCTAATTGACAGGTTGGAGGTTAATGTTACCTTCCTTTGAGACTGTTTCAGTTGTGCCAGACCATTCTCTGCATTCCTGGAGCTTATCTGGCTCACTCCTTTTGGCACTTACACTCTTGTCTCCTTGAATTGGTACTTAACTCTTTCATGTGTTTCTGTCTCAGGCAAAAGGATAATAAGCTTTCAGAGGGTAGCTTGTCTATTGTAATACAGTGAGTGAGTGAGTAAGTGAGTGAGTGAGTTAATAGATTTCCCCTGTTAGGCTGACATGTGGATTTTTTTAACTTACTGTAATAGCCACTTGGGAAGAATTCCAGCCTGTGTACACTGGTGATAAGAGAAACCATTTTTTTGTCCAGATTTTAAAATATTTCTACTTACAGTTGACAGATCTAATCATCAGATCCATAAATTTGTTCATACTTTTTTTGAAGGCTTACATCTGTGCCAGATACTGTGTCATTAGCAGAACTAGCACAACTGAGTAATGTTTGTGTCCAAGGTGATAAACTCTGGCATGTTAAGATTGAGGCATTTTGTTTTGTTTTTTAGTATCACTTTATGGTAACCTTGTTTTCTTGTTCTTCCACTCCATTAAAAAAAAAAGTTGTTCGTTCCACCCCTCCCTCACTGAGAAAGCCACGTGGTGCATCACGTGGTCCCATCCAGCCCTGCAGGTTGTACAGCCAGTCCCCAGACACAACACGGGTGGTGATGTTGTGAAAAGTAATCCAGGGATGCATCTGAGTAAAGAGGAGGGTTGATTTCATTTGGTGTGTGCTTTCCTCCAGGGACAGAACCCTTACTGGAACTTGAACTAGAATCAATTGAGAACGTTTGGATAAATCAGATGAATCACTGCCACACCTGTAACTCAAGAGCGTGCCAGCCATGAAACATGCCCCTGGGGCCAGGAAGGGCCTGGCACTAACCGCACAAAATGGGGTCCAGCCTCTAACATGAAAATTCTCCCCTGACACTGTGTGCCCAGCTGTACTGCATTTACCATTTTGAATTTTAATTGTCTGCTGCTCCCACTGAATCCTACCCTCTAGAGCAGCGGTTCTCAACCTTCCGCGACCCCTTAATACCGTTCCTCATGTTGTAGTGACACCCAACCATAAAATTATTTTCGTTGCTACTCTATAACTGTAATTTTGCTACTGTTATGAATCGTAATGTAAATATCTTTTTGTTTTCTGATGGTCTTAGGCAACCCCTGTGAAAGGGTCATTCGACCCCCAAAGGGGTCGCGACCCACAGGTTGAGAACCGCTGCTCTAGGACAAACTGTCACTTCCTTATCTGTGCCTGGCCTACTTTGCGCCTTGTCTCATACATGCTAAATGCCTGGTAAACGTTTGTTGAGTGAATGAAAGAGGCTTAATGTTAACATTGGCTATTGTCTGAGTACACCAGAATTGCCTGCAGGTTATAGCTATGTACTATACCCGCACAGGAAGGTGGAATGGATTGCATAGCAAAACACCGGAAGAGCAGGGCAGGAGACTCGGAAACACTGAGAACCCAGCTTTTAACATGTACTCACTGTTGTGTTGTCCTCCTTACCTCCACCTCCCAAACCAGGAAACACGGATCTAAGTGCCTTGTGCACTGCAAAATGGGGGTGAGTCGCTCGGCCTCCACTGTGATTGCCTACGCAATGAAGGAATATGGCTGGAACCTGGACCGAGCCTATGACTATGTGAAGGAAAGACGAACTGTGACCAAGCCCAACCCCAGCTTCATGAGACAACTGGAAGAGTACCAGGGGATCTTGCTGGCAAGGTGAGTCTCTAAGTGACTTTCTCAGATGTTCCCTCCGTTAGACTCCCCAGGGCAAGGTGAAATGTCCTTCTCTGCTGCTAGTTCTCCGCCTAACTTGGACGTGTCAGACGTTTTGCAAATTGAAATCTCTATCTCGTTTTTTAAAAATTAAGTACAGCATTTAAAATGAGCATGGAAGATTCGGATTTAATCAAAACTAAAGACATTTAAACGAAAGGGTGGAAAATACTATTCCCTTTTTTCAGTTCTCAACAAGATACAGATTTTAATAAACGCTTCTCGACATCTGCTCATGCCAGATGCAGCTGCCTTGTCAAAATGGATACTGATTACTCCCAAGGTAATTGTAGGCGTAGCTGAAATTCTTAGAAATTTTTTGGCCCATTTATTTTAAAAAAAAAAAAGAAAAGTACCTGCTGCTGCGTTGGACATTTTTTTTTCTCAGTGCTTGGTTTCACTGACCCCTCCCCAGTAATTTTAGTCACCTAATAAATCAGCAGAATTGGGGTATGTATAACTCATTTGAGGTGTGAAATAGCTCCCCTGTTTTCTTTCTCTAAATGTTTTAATACAGTTTTATACATATGCTTAGTAAAAATGCAGAAAATCACAAAGCAAAAAAATCATTCATAAACTCAATAACCACAGAGAGCAGTTGACGTTATCTTACCTGTTTCTCTAGGTCTTACTCTTATCACATATATTGATGGCTATTGTTTCATAAAAACGGTCCTTCGGCCTACCTCTTTGCCCAGTGTTAGGTCTTTTTTTGTTTTTACTGTAGCAGTGTTCATTGAGCACTTACACTGCACTTAACTGTTCCTTTCCCCCACTAGCTTTATTGAGATATAATTGACATATAGCATTGAGTAAGTTTAAGATGTGCAGTGTGTTGATTTGATACATTTGTATATTACAAACTGGTTGCCACCATAGCATTAGGAAACATCTTCATCCCTTCACACATTTCTTCTTTTGTGGTGAGAATATTTAAGATCTACTCTCTTAGCAATATTCAAGTATATAATGCAGTATTATTAGCTGTAATTACCATGCTGTACATTAGCTCCCCAGAATTTGTTAATCTTACAACTGGAAGTTTGTACCCTGTGACCAGTACCTCCCATTTCTCCCAACCCCCACCTCTGGTAACCAGCACTCTGCTCTCTGTCTCTCTGAGTTCAGCTTTTTCAGATTCACATATAAGTGACACCATACAGTATTTGTCTTTCTCTGTCTACCCAGTACTAGGTCTTAAACATCTTCCTGTATCAATAAGAACCAGCTGTTCCAACCAATGTGGTAATCAGTTATAAAATGAGTAATTTCACCATTTATTACCTTTTTGGTGATAAAAGCCACCTTCAGCTGCTCTTGGGAAAAAGATTCAGGTATTAAACAGGATTTAAGGATCAGTTTCCTTACAGGCCACATACTGAAGTTCTGTGGAGTGCTAGATGTTGCTGTGTTTTTTCCATGTAGGCATGTTCTAGATAATTTTGTTAGGGTGAAGGCACAGATGCCTAGAAGCAGTTGGGGCTCGTGCCAGAGTTTGACTCCAGCGAGTCTCATGACTTGGTCTTGACTCTTGAATCTGGACTGTGTTTCCCCTGAACAAAGTGTTACATAGCCTTCCAGCCTATCCAGGCAGAGGGACCACCCTCCCACCCCGAAGTATTGTGAAAATGTGGCCACAGCATAGCATTATGGTTTCCACCAAAAAAAACCCTCCCATTTACTCAGTACTTGGCATAATTTCATCTCGAGCTGTTCTCTTAAGAAGCCAGGAGGATATGCAAGTCTCCTTCACTTAACAAAGAATTTATAGGTCTTTGTGGCCAAATTTTGATGACATTTTTAGATTAGATCAGAAGGTAGGACACAGCAGTTCTTTTTGGCACAAGAAAGAGGCATCTGAGGGTTGGATGAGACATAACTATTGTATATTCCCAGACACACACGACGGATGTTAGGCAGTGTCCTCACGTGACCCACTGAGAGGAAGGATACGATGTGTCCTGCCAATTTCACTATTTATTCTGGAATCCCAGGCTACTGCAAGCTGTTGGGTTGGGCTTTTTAGCATATGTGGTTTTTCTTAGATGTTAAAGGAATTTCAGAAAAATCTTAGATGAGAATAAGAAGAGCGGCATAAACCCACAAATCACCCTGCCTCTTTCCTTTCGGTTTCATCCTGCCTTCCTAGGCTTGATTCATGGAGGGAGGGGCAAGCCCTGGAGAATGAGAAAACCACAGAATTTGAGTCAGTAGGTCTGGTTGCCGTGCCTGGTTCACTCCCTTGCTGCACTTCTGAGAAGTTACTACACCGTTCTGATCCTCACCTGACCCTGTTTATAAAATGAAAATCAAGAGACCTCCCTCACAGAGTTATTAGACATAAAAATGTATACAAATGTACATTATGTGCTGTTAAGGGTTATTCAGATGTGACTTGCATCATCTCCCTCCTCCAGAAAACACATGCGCATGTGCCGTTTATTTCTTTCTGCTCGATGTATGTATATGTCATTTATTTCCTCCTCCCTCCTCCAACCACTGCCTCCCACCACCCACAGGCACACCAGCTCCATTAGAAACTGGACTAAGAGGTGGTCCTGGAACTTCCTGTATTGTGATATCTTCTAGATTTTAAGAACTGGAATCCAGTGCTGGGGGCATCACTTAGGCTGCTTTCAGCTGCAAGTAATAGAATACCTCTATCAATTGAGATCTCAACAAGAAACTGCATACTCAGATTAGGATTATTTGAGGAGGGCTTTATAAAGGGACTATTAACAAAGGTGCGGAATGGAAGGAGAGTCGAGGGACTTGTATCAGCAGAGCTGTTTGTTAATGGCTCCTAGGCCCAAGGGAGCGAGCAGTTACAAGAACCTAGGAGGAGACTTCTGGAAAGAAAGGCACCTTCAGAGAGGAGCAATAACCTTCAATTAAAGGACAGAGTCAGCCTGAAGTGACCATGCAGGGAGGAAGCTAGGGGAGTAAAAGGTCTATCTTCATCCCTCCCTCCAGTCTCCTGCTGGGGTGTCCCATTAGCCAAACCTTGCAGAAAGCAGAAGAAACGAGGGCCTATTGACGTGGTCCGTAGATCAATCTCAAGGGCAGAGAAAAGGGTGAAAAAGCTGAAGAGTGGATCTGCAGGGACAAACAGAGGATATCTGGCCTAACACCCAGCTAGATGTGGTATAAAAAGATGGACCATTTAACAGCACTGTAACACGAAGCACAGAAGCAGACTCTGATGGCTCGGTGATGTCATCAGGGACTTGGATAATCTCCATCTTTCTGCTCTACCTTCCTCGGTTAAGAACGGCTTGGTCCTTGAACTTGTTTCTTCATGATTGCCAGATGTCTGCCACATTGCTAGGCATCTACATTTAAATTCCACAGCTTCTGGCTAAATGAATGGGCATTTCCATTATAATGAGGAGACCTTTCCCAGGAGCTCCCCAGTAGATTTCCCCCACAAGACCCCTTGGCCAGGACTAAGTCATATGCCAAAACTAATCACTGGCTAGGAAAATAGAATTTCCTGAACTGGCTAAAACAAATTCACATACACACACACACACACACACACACATTCACATACACACACACACACACACACACACACACACACACACACACACACACACCCCGGTGCTAGGGAAGTTCCACATGCCCTGAACCCGTGGGACAGTGAACATCCCAACCAAACCAGGCCTCTGCCAGTGAGGAAAAAGAGTGGGAGTACCTGCCAGTTATACAGCCATTGGGGCCTGCTGTCTATGATGTGTTGTCAAGAAACAGCGCTTGCAGCTAACCTGCCAACCACCCTACCAAGTGCGTTGGGCCCAGCAGACTCCTGAGTGCTGCTCCAGGATCTGCAACTCGGAAGAGCAAAGAAACCCAGACTCCTGTGACTGCCTGGAGCTCTGTCAAGCTCTGCAGTTTAGGTAACCCAGAGAGGAAAGGCCTTAGAAAAATCCCACTCCTTCTGTTTGCAAAGAAATTCCATTTCCTGTCCAGGTGCTTAGTTCTTGTGTTTCCTGTCTTCTCCCAGGAAGCATGTGGTTTCCCAAAAAGATAGAGCCCTGATCTGGCATTCTCTAGCCCCGTGGTTGTCCAGGTTGCCACTGGATACTTACCCTGAGGTGGCAACACTCTGTTTGATGCTATTAGCTTGGTACTTTGAGCTCTTGGTAGAAGAGAAGTTTAGGAAAGTGACACCAGGCCTCTGTAGTGATTTGTGAATTGGTAACAGTCTCTTAATCAGAATGTGAGGGTGTGGGCCAAAGAATGATAGCCCCTCTGAAATACAAGGGACTTTTTGCATCTCTCAGCATGTCTTTAAGAGCCTGGGGAAGGCTAATATTTTAATATTCTCCCTTAGACCTAAAAGGGAGGGTATCATAAAGCCACTGATATTGTTCATATCTAATTTTATGTTTTCTGTTCTTATAGCTGGGGGAGGGGAGTGAGGCAGGAGGGAGGGTGTGTGTGTGTGTGTGTGTGTGTGTGTGTGTGTGTGTGAGTGTTTTGAAACCCTCCATTAAACTGCCAGCGGCCCTGTCTGTTATTCTGCACTCTGATCATGTAGGTATCTGGCAGATTTATGTTCCATTAGACAAGTTCAGATTTCAGGCTTTTGCAAGCTGACCATGTGTCTGTGATATTAGGTTCCAGTATATAAAGCAAATAAGAAAAAATTGTGTGGTGGCCAGGGAAAGTTTGTGCCACATGTCCTCACAGATGTCAGCTTTGATTCTTTGAACACCTCTGTCACCAGGGCCAGAGGAGGCCAAGTTGTCTTACCTTGGCTTTGCTGGGGCAGACAGTGAAGTCTAGTTAGCGGTGCACAGTGGTCAGCCAGCAGGAGAAGGCGTGGATTCTTGGTCAGGTGACAGCCAATCACAATCGGAGTTTAAAGGATTTTCTTAATAGCTTTTCAGAGAAATAATCTTAAAGCACAACACACAGAAAATGCTCAATTGAAGCTTTTTCTCTTCCTTCTGCTCCTTTCCACAGGCTGCCTAATGCCCCAAGAAGTCACCATAATGCCCTAAGAAGCCTGATTGCACTATAACAGATACTCTATTTTTAGCAGTCTTTTCCTCTGTATCACTTTTTCAAACAGTGCTTTATCAAGCATATGACAATAAGAAAGCAAGCAAGTGGAGGCAAGAGAATGGGACATCACTGATGTGTATCCTGTCATTTCTATTTCCTTTGTGTTCATTTACTAAGTAAAAGGCCAGATTCTTGCCCAGAATGACCCAATCTGCTCATGTGTGTCAGTGTGTTTATGTGAATCCAAATTCAGGTCAGAGGCTACCCACGTGGGAAAGAACCTGAGACTTGGTTGCATCACTCGGGCCACAAACCAACTCTGAAGTTCTCTTTGGCAACTTGTTTACTTGCTGCCTACCTGGAATAGGTTGGGGAGGGGGAGTCAGCTGGATTTCAAATAATAAAGATGAGCTAATGTCTTACATCTACCCCTACCAGTAATGGAGCATTAGAATAAGCTGGCTTGGGAAGAAGCTTCGCTGGAAAACAGTTGGTGTTACTGAGGAACACCGATGATTCATACATGGCCCATGACCCACCTTGTAGGATATATACAGTCTGATTTCATTTATATAAAGTCCCAAACATTCTGAACTGAGCAGTACCTTGTTAAGAACAAAACAATGTGATGACTCTATAAAGAAAAGAAAGGGAATGAGTGATAAGCACAAAATTCAGGACAGAGGTTAATAACCTCAGGGGGGAGAGGGGGGAGGGGATCAGGAAGGGCCCTGTGGAGTAGCTGGGTTTGGAAACCATGGTAACCGAACATCTTGACTGCAGCTGAGAGCTGCAGTCTCCACTCTCCCTGCAGGTCCTATTGCAAACACAAAAAAGGAGGCAGAGTCACACCTATCTTCAGATTGGAATATTTCTTTCTCCTTTACAAGTAGGTGTCAGTTTAATTCCAGAGCCCTGACCCAATATTTTCTGATGATTATCTCCTCCAGGAAGAGAAGGAAATCCCTGCTGGGCAAAGCAGCTATGATGTCAGCCACTTCCTCTTAAACAGGCACTGTTTGTGCCTATTAGCATAACTTCAGTTTCTTACTCCCTACTGACTGGTTAGTGATTTACAGGCAGTTTGAAAAATCATACTTCAGAGTGTTCTTAGGATCATGGAAGCATCCCATTTGCCTGTTGACTGAGTTTATATTATTAGAAGGATGACAACAGCTGCTCCCGGAGATGTCTCCCCAGTCATTTGCATGACAGGAATTGTCCTGCCGTGGTGGCTGAGAGGGATTGGTACAGGCTGAACATCTTCATGATAGCTGAGGGATAGAAACTGGAGAACACTGTTATATTTAGGTCAGGAAACAAGGGTGTCTAGATATAAAAGAAGAACCTTTAAAGGGAAGCACATTGGCACTGTTTGGTCACAATGGACAGTTTAGGCCCCAACCAGTCAGTTTGCCTCTCCACACAGCCACTCACTCGTTTGGGATGTGTGATTTATTGTCTCCTCCTAGGGGTGGCTGGCGTTCTTGCAGCTCAGAAAGAGGGAAAACCCTCCCTTCCACCCAGCTGATTGATTATAGCCTGTCTTCATACACAGATTGACCTGCTCCCTACCCAGCAAAGCATCCCTTTGCTGTGCAGGCCTGAGAGAGAGAGCCCCACCCAAACAGCAGACAGGCAGGGGGAGCTGAGAGAGAGCAGGTGCAGAGCTGAGAACAAACAGGGGTTCACATTAGTGCAGGCGCATGACTCAGCAGAGATTTACAGGCCTCTGAGGCAGGCGTGGCCCTGAGCCCGGGGGTAAGTTGTTTTGGGCTGTTTCCCATTCTACCCTGCGGTTAGGTCACTCTTCATCAGCTTGTAAGTCATGGAAACCATACCCCATAAACCATTGAGTGACCTATTCCCTGGGCAGGTGATCCTGCCCACCCACAGAGCCACCTTTCTCCTTTTGGCTGGGGCTTGGGGAACTGTGCTTCCTTGTTCGAGAGTGTGGTTTGAAATGAAACCTCATCCCCACACCAGACCTTCCTTCCCTCCATAATATAAGCCGAAGGGTTGATGGGGGTGGGGCCTGCTGTGTGTGTGTGTGTGTGTGTGTGTGTGTGTGTGTGTGTGTGTGTGTGTGTGTGTGTTCTTCCTTTGGCCTCCTCACCTGCTTTTCGAGGTGTCACCTTAGCTTAATGGTGTTTATCCAGAGATCCTTCTGAAAGCGGCCTGTACTTCATGCTCATCTCCTTCCATTCTGTTACCACCCTTTTTCTCCAGGTTTACTAGCCTCCCTTTTGCTTTCTAATTCAAGAAAGATTACCACCCTCCACACTTCCACCTCAGTGATTAATCCTATATCAGCTTTCACCCCAATTACGAGGATTTGTGATGGGCTCCAATAGACTGTTTCTCTTTGTATTACATGAGTGCTGTTTTGTTTTCATTTTTTTCTGGTTATTTAAGTTCAACATTCTTGTTATTTTAAAAATTCAAAAATTATAGAAATACAGAGTATAGAAAGTAAAGCCCTCCCCAAAAGTGTTTTTGCTTTCCTTGAAAGAACTGTTACCAGTTTGGTGATGTTCCTCCAGATATTTTCCTATACTTATTCTAACATGGAACTGACCGTTCCAAATGTGTTCACCATGCTTTTTCACTTAATAGTATGCCTTGGACATCATCCCACTAAAATACCTGACTGTTTTTGACAGCTTCCTAGTATAGACGTATATGAACTGTAATTTCAGTAAATCCTCTCGGGGTGTGGGTGGGGGTCTGATATTTTTAGGACCACAGTGTTAGAGTGAACATCCTTCTATGTATATCTTTGTGCATTTATAGTAGTATTTCTCCATGAAAAATTCTTTAAAAATTGGTTAAAGGGTCAAATTTTGAGAGCTATTGCCAGAGTTTTCACTCTTTAAAATGCTACAATTCACATTTCTACCAGCTGTAAACGAGAGGACTTGTTGGGCCATTCCATCATCAACACTTTCTGTTAATAACCATTTTAGTTCTTGTCAGTCTAATTAATAGGTTAAAAAAAATCAGATCTCATATTTATTTGTTCTTGTTGTTTTGCTTTGTTTCTGTTTTTTGCTATTAGTTAAATGAACATCTTCAAATCGTTATTGCCCGCTGCCATTGGGCATTAGCAAAGCATTTTGCCAGTTAAGATTTCAGTCTCTTTGGGAGTGGTTTCCTGCTAGGGTGTTGATTGTTTTCATAAACCAGAGTAAGGCATCTCTTGTGTATGTCCTCCACAGCAAACAGCGGCATAACAAGCTCTGGAGATCTCATTCAGATAGCGACCTCTCAGACCACCACGAACCCATCTGCAAACCAGGGCTAGAACTCAACAAGAAGGAGATCACCACCTCAGCGGACCAGATTGCCGAGGTGAAGACCATGGAGAGTCACCCACCCATACCTCCCGTCTTCGTGGAACATGTAGTCCCACAAGATGAAAATCAGAAAGGCCTATGTACCAAAGAAAGAATGATCTGCTTGGAGTTTACTTCCAGGGAATTTCATGCTGGACAGATCGAAGATGAATTAAACCTAAATGACATCAATGGATGCACATCAGGGTGTTGTCTCAGTGAATCAAAATTCCCTCTTGACAACTGCCATGCATCCAAAGCCTTAATCCAACCTGGACAGGCCCCAGAAATGGCCAACAAGTTTCCAGACTTAACAGTCGAAGATTTGGAGACAGACGCACTGAAAGCAGACATGACCGTCCACTTACTGCCTATGGAAGAATTGACATCTCGCCTGAAAGACCTCCCCATGTCCCCTGATCCTGAGTCACCGAGCCCCCAACCCAGTTGCCAGGCTGACGTCTCAGATTTCAGTACAGATCGCATTGATTTTTTTAGTGCCCTAGAGAAGTTTGTAGAGCTTTCTCAAGAAACCCGGTCACGATCTTTTTCCCATTCAAGGATGGAGGAACTGGGTGGAGGAAGGAGTGAGAGCTGTCGATTGTCGGTGATAGAAGTAGCCCCTTCTGAAGTGACAGCTGACGATCAGAGAAGCACCTCTTTGAGTAATACGCCTCATGTATCTGAAGAATCTTCAATAGATGAGGAACAGTCAAAGGTAAAAACTATCTTTCTAGTTCTCCACCTAATGAAGCTCTCTTCAAAGACAAAATATTTGGGATTCAGCTGTGTCTACTTTATTTTTGATGTTGCTGAAGATTTAGGAAGGCAGCATGGGAGAGAGATTTTCCTTGAAAACTTAGAGTTTGAATATTATTTTAAATCAGTTGCCTTTTGAGGAATTTATCTTTCCAGGTTTTTGGTGTCATTGGAAGCACTTCTGAGAAGGGATGAGGGAAGAAGGGATTAGCCAAAACAAATGTCTTAGCTGAACAAGGAGAGGTCCCCTCCTTGGGCCTCAGCAGTTCAGATCAAATCTCACCAGCCGTGAAATGCTGCCTGAGGGAGACTTGTGTGTCTCTGAGAAGCTGGATTTGTTTGGAAAAGTCTTTCTTCTCAGAAAATTCAGATACTAGACAGTGTAAACAATTGTTGGGGTAGCGCCTGATTCCCATGCTGAGTTCTTGCTATTAATGTTTCAGAGTTGCCCCTTATCTCAGACCCTGCATTATTCAAGAATTGAGGAATGGTTTGGGGAAATGATTTGCGAGCAGACAGAACCCGAAGATTCTTCTCAGTGGTATATGAGCTCTTAAGAGCTTCCTCAGACCAGGGAAAGGATTACTGTGTATCATCATTTCTAAGACTCACACTTTTTCTCATTTTGACACTTCTGAAATTGGGATGCATTTTAATCAATATAATGTATCAATATAATACAGTAGTTGGGAAGTAAATGGTGACAGATTTACTCTAACATACCAAACCTTACTTAATGAATTCAGTGGAGATGAGTAGATTCTTGACATCTCCTGATGTCTTATCTACTTATATTTACCACCTTGTCCATTACTCATCTGCTCTCTCTCTCTCTCCTTAACTCTACAGGGCAGTCATTGCCTCTGCTTCTGTCTTCTTCTCTTCCCCCAAAGTCTATGCCTCTGTTTCGTTTCTACTGGGAAACCTGAATGCTTTAGCTCTCCTTTGGCCCAATCGGTGTAGCAGCTCTGACAGAAATAGCTCGTTTGCAAGTCCCTGGTCATATGAGAGCACTCCCTCCACAGCCCATCCACACACTAGGCCCGCTGTGGCTTCTCTCCCAGTCTTGGCAAGTTTGCCTCTGCCTAACATCCTGGCAGATTTCTCCCAAAGGTATAACTGACCTTGTCAGTTTGTACCAGCTCTGACTCTCTTTTGAAGGGGAAAGACCAGAACAATTCCTAGGGAAATATTGCACTTTGAAGGTTTATAAAAATCTTACCAAAGTAGGCTGATGGTCATACTGATGTCACTTTAAGAAGTGTCCAAGGGCCGTTTCCAGACTTTGAAATTCTTATTTCTTTATGATAGGACTTGTTTTCCCATTGGCCAGTTTTCTCTGACCTTGTCCTAAATCCATCTGGGAATTCGTAACTGGGAGAAGAGTAAAATGGCAGAGTCACGGTTTCTCAGTTCGCCCAGGCACATGGCAGCATAAGCCAAGTAAACCTTTCCCAGCAGGAGCCCTGGGAAACTTGTAAATTGTGTAATCAGGCACAGGGCCCTCATGTGCTGCTAGGAGAAGAGGTGGGAGGGCATGGATGCAAGCTGCCAAGGGGAGAGGAGAGAGCAGTGTCTCCAAATCAGACATCAGATGATAGCCTCATCCATCTTGCCCTGTCTAAAACACTGGGCATGGCTAAGGGGGCCACCAAGCCCTTACTGCGACTCTTCCCTTCAAACTAGGTTAGAATCTGGCTGGAAGCTGATAGGCCAGAGAGGAAAGGTCTCATTTACCCCCATTATGGCCAAAATTCTGAAGGTTCATGGTCTTAGGAAAATTAGGAGCCTCTGAGGCTGATTGCTGTTCATTTTTGGAGCGAGATATTAGGTTGGAATCCTATTTGAGTAAACAGAACAGAAAGTTCAGTAGACAGTGATACAGCCTGTAACTAATTTTGTATCTCTGCCTTTGATGAATGTCTTTTTCTTGTATGACAAAACAGATAGACTCCAGTCCTAGGCAGAAGATGGTCCCAGACACTCCATGATTTGTGTCCTCATAGCCAGAAGGTTCTGGATCAGAGGATTAGTAAGCAAAGCAAAGAAAATATATATTAGTAAGCAAAAAAAGGCATTTTCAATTAGACTATAATTTGCCATAACCATCTCACTATTGTCTCTTCTCAGGCAATCTCGGAACTGGTCAGCCCAGACATCTTCATACAATCTCATTCAGAAAATGCAATCTCAGTCAAAGAAATCGTCACTGAGATTGAATCTATCAGTCAAGGAGTTGGACAGATTCAACTGAAAGGAGACATTCTGTCTAACCCATGCCATACACCAAAGAAGAACGCCGCCCATGAGATGCCCCTTGAGGGGGCCCAGGCCCTGGAGGACAGACCTGGAAACGAGCAGAATGGGGGTTCCTGCACAGCCCAGCCGGAACTAGTCAAAGACTCAGGGAAGTGGGACCCAGAAGGCTGCCTAACTGCACACTCGTCCACCACAGACTTGGAAGAAGAGGAACCAGCTGAGGGCGAACAAGAGCTCTGGGGCCCAGGGGTGCACCCAGGTGCCAAGTGGTGCCCTGGGTCCGTGAGGCGGGCCACCTTGGAGTTTGAAGAGCGCTTGCGGCAGGAGCAAGAGCACCACGGCGCCACCCCCACATGTACCTCAGTGCCCGCTCGCAAGAATTCCAAGAACGATTCCTCTGTGGCGGACCTAGCACCAAAAGGGAAGAGTGATGAAGCCACCCTAGAACATGCCTTTGTCCCCAAGGAAGCAGAGATGAACAAGGGCAAAGGGAAATGCGGTGGGTCTGAGGCTGGCTCACTGCCCCACTGTGAGCAGGATGCCGTCGTCACTCCAGCGCCCGCGCTGCCGGAGTTTCAGGCCTTGCCAGCTCCCCAGGGCTGCCCAGGGCCAGATCCTAGGACAGAGCAAGAAGGGGTCCTGAAGGTGCAGAGGACTGTGGTTTCATGCCAGGGACCCGAGACACAGGCATTTCCTCTTCCTGTTTCCAAGAAGATAGAAATCATTGAGTATACCCATACGGTGACATCAGCTGACCTCACTGGGCCAGAGGGTGAAACGGCCACCGGTGAGGAGCAAGGACTGAGGAAAGTGAAAGTGGAAAAGTCCCTCACTGTCCTCTGTGCACTGGATGAAAATCTGAACAGGACGCTGGGCCCCGACCACCTTTCTCTGCACCCCAAAGTGCTACCTCTGCCTCCCTCTTCATCTCCTGAGCACAGCAGGCCCGCTCACCAGACCTCCGCCATGAGCAGCCCTGGAGCTGGGGGTTGTGGCCCATCCACAGCCCGGGACACAGCAGCGCCTTTTGTCAGCCACACGACTCACGTACCGTCCGCCAACTTGGATTACCTGCATCCGCAGGCCGTGGTCCACCTGGAAGGTGTCACCGAGCAAAGTAGCACCACAGACGGCGAGCCCCCTACGGAGCAGGGTGGCCAGGAAGCAAATCAGGAGGGTCCCCTCTCCAGTGACCGTGAAGTGTCAGATAAGGGCTCCCAGCCAAGTAGCGAAGACCCAAGTTTAACTAGCAAACTTGGTGACAACATTGGGAAGTTACAAGAAAAACCGGACCCGTCACCTGTAGCCTGTAGCCTCCCACACGGCTCTAGTGGTGACAGTGTAAAGGGCTCCCGTGTGGTGAAGGAGCACGCTAAAGAAATGGAGTCCCGAGCCGTGTGCCAGGGAGGGCTCAGCAAGCCACCCCAAATGCGGCGCTCCACCTCCCTCGCCAAGTTAGGTTACTTGGACCTCTGTAAAGACTGTTTACTGGAGAGGGAGCCCATTTCCTCGGAGTCCCCTCATCTCAAACTGCTTCAGCCCTTCATCAGAACGGACTCCGGCATGCATGCCATGGAGGCCCACGAGCCCCCAGAAAACCCAGATGCCCCCCAGGACCCAGAGCCCACCAAGTATTTTATAGAGCAACTTAAAACAACAGAGTGTGTCGTGCAGAGCAAGCCCGTAGAGAGGCCCCTCGCACAGTATGCCAAAGAATTTGGTTACAGTCAGCAGTGTTTGCTCCCCAAGGCAGGACCTGAATTGACTACTAGCTCTGAAGGAGGCCTTCCTCTCCTACAGACCCGGGGGCCGCAGTACGCAGGCCCAGCTCCAGGGCTGGCTTGGGCTCCCCTCCATCAGCAGCACAGCAGAACTCACCCCCTGAGGAGGCTGAAAAAGGCAAATGATAAAAAGCGGACAACCAACCCCTTCTATAATACCATGTGATTCTGAGCCTACACATGTGACTTTCTAAAAGAAATGTTTGTAAAAGGGGCAGGTGTAATATGTAAGGAACATGCACTTTATTGGTTAGTTTTATAATATTTTGGTCATTTTACTGTTCCTGGCGCATGCAGGGTTTGGGTTTTTTTTTTTCTCTGTGTGTGTGAGAGCGAGATTGATTTGGACGGCAAGACCATTTTATCATTTTTTTTTATTTTTAGAAAATTCAAACCTCAAAAAATACTCATTTTCGTAGAACACCTTTATCAAAGGCACATTGCTGTTTTTCAGGCAACTGCCACCTGCTTCTCTCCTTTCGCCCTCTGAGAGAAAAGGTGAGCTTGCTTGCTTAAGAAAGGAAAGCAGCCGGGAACGGTGGGGAAGAAGCCGGAAATTGGAAATGCTCCCCTGGGCCCCGTGTGTGGAGGGTATGCTCGGCAGACCTGATGCATCAGGTGGGCTGATGGGCAGCTGGACTGGATGTCAGCGTGCTCTTGGTCCTCAGCTCCGGCCCATGGGAATTCCTGAAGTGGACAAGTTCTGCTCTGCTTGCCGGGGAGGTTGGGGAGGGAGGGTGTGGAGGTTACAGAATCCATTTCTTGTACTCCAGAGTGGATCATTACAGAAAGGCGTTATAATGGCCGGCTTTGTAAACTTACCAAGCAAATATATTTTTTCCCAAGCAAATAATTTTTTTATTAAATTAAAAGCAAACCCCCAACAAAACCCACGAGGTCCTCTGTAGAGGAAAGCATAAGAAGGAGGAGGTGAAGTCGGAGGTGGGGAGGCTGCTGCCCAATCTTAGGATCCTTGGGCTGCACACAGGTGGTGGTCCTGGCCCCCTGCCGGAAATGGGCTCTGCAGCTCCTCCCAGCTCAGGTCCAATAGCCACAAGTTTGAAAAACAGCAATTGAAAGTCAGTGTGTTCTTGTAAAATGAATACATATGTAGGGTTTTAACCCTTTCGTTACTTGAATAATTCTGTGGGCCTTTTGAGTTTAATGGCCATATTTTTTTCAATTTGTTTTTTCCCCCTTCATGCTGTTTCTCCCAGTGCTGCCTATTTTTTTTTAATTTCATAGATGATATTTGATTGTTACATTACATATGTATAACCTCCATTGAATGCAAAGTTTTCTTTTTGATATTATCACTGTTAACACTTGACATAAGTTTTTTTTCCCCTTTTCCTGGAAGATTTGTCATTTCTCTAGTTTATACACAGTATTTATGTACATAATGTCACTTTCTTACAGTGTTTTGTTGATGTCATAGGGCCTTTTTGATTTATTCTTTTTAAGGAGTAAAGCTGCAACTGGAAAACACAGACACCACAGAAATAAAACTGATGGGCGTTGGTAGGAATCTGCAGAGTATATTGACAGTGGTTGTAATTGTTTAAATGGAGACTCCTAATTGCCAGCTCCTGCCAAATTATGCGTTATTAGTAACTTCCTCCCCAGAGAAACCCCTAAAGGTTCCCATTAGATCACAGTTTGACTGAAGGCTGATTTTTCTTTGAGACTGAAGCCTCAGAACCTTGTTTGTGGGCAGCAGAACCACAGCAGGGTGTGTGTGAGTGCTCCTGCTGCTCAGGCTTGCGAGGCTGCAGGGAGGCCTCAGCCCAGGGCAGGCGCCCTGCGTGACTCCAGCTAGGATGCTGTTGCTTTGCTGCTATTGTGGAGATCCTTACCACAGGAGCACCTGCCACAAACAAGCCTCTTTCTGCTCCTTTCCGAAAACATATTTAGCCTGGAATGAAACACCCTCTGCAAGTCATCAAAGCTGAAGAGGTTTGCAAACTTGCTTCCCGTCTGCTTTGATTGACGTCCACGTTGCTGAGAGATTGACCGAGTACAGACTCGAGATGTAGGTTTTTGGTTCATCACTGAAAGGAAAAGAGAGGTGCACAGATTGTCAAGGTGATGCCAGAGGCCATTGTTTGGTGGGGGCAGGCGGTAAGGAGGGTGGCCCAAAAGAGAGAGAGAGGGGCTGAGGCCACTCAGAGGGGCTGTGAATCTAGTTGCCATGTGGAAGCCGTGGCTGGGTCGGACATCACTGCCAGGAGGCAAACTGGACAAAACCCTCCTGCTCTAAGTGTCTTCGTGGTGTAGTAATTATATGTACCTGTGCTGTCCCTAAGTAGTTTCCTTAAATGTTCAAATGTATCATCCACCCAGCTTTGTGGTTCCAGGACATTTAATGTGTTCTAACGTGTTTTGTTAGGTGGTGTGTACCAGTGTGAGGAAGCTTGCAGGACACAGTTATGCGTTTCCAGGGTTCGTCCACCTAAGCTGGCCTGTCTTGTTGAGGCAACTGCACTACCACTATGATGGGGAAAGGACAGAGAATTGTGGCAGGGGTGGGGACAGGAGGGTGTGCATGGAGGTTAAGAGAATGATGTCCCTTGAGATGGTGACATCCCTCACATTGAGGCGTACAAGCAGGATAGTCAGGACTGTACTGTTCTCTCTTCTCCCCGCTACTGTGTGCACGACTCAGTGCGTTCGGTAACCAAGACGGGGGGATCCTGCTAATGCTGTGAAGAACAAAAACGTCTTAAAGAATAGAGGAAATGTTCTTGCTCTGCCTTTTTTTTAACATTTAATTTACCTGCCTAAATAAACATCCTCTCTACAGGGTCTGTAATTCAGTCATGCCATGGGGTTTTGCCAGTTCTCTCAAACTCCCACCACTGGGTGTTCTTATATTAATTTATGCAGCTGAGCAGTGTCCAGGGAAAGAACATGATGAGCTATCAAGGACTTTGCAGACTTCTCTTCAAGCTTGCTGATAATCTCGGGTGACCCATTTCCCTCTTCTGTTCATGGAAAACCCAGCCCTGGAACAGCAGTTCTGGTAGATCGAGAGCTGAGGAGGAGAAGTCCTGACCTCTTGTCCAGTGCCTGTCTTTACCTGTATTTTGAAAAACACCATAGTCTGACTCTCAGTTGCTCTGAAGGAATGTGTGAGTGTGTGTGTGTGTGTAAAAAGTAACATTTTGGTGCATGGGGTAAAAGCCCCAGGAGCACAGGTTTGGGGCTGCAGTCGGGGTGATTACCTGGTCAGTAGGAAGGAGAGAAAGCCCCACCCTTTCTTGGATTAGAAACACTTAGGAGTAGTGTGTAGCACAGTAGACGTGTAGTATTGTAGTGCAGTGATATTCATCTCTCCTCGTTTCGGTTGCCTTTCAGATTCTGAATGTTTGGGATCATTACTAGCATCTCAGCCTCTTCCGGCTCCTTATCGAGCATTATCCTGGTTCTATCCCTTTATCCCAACTGTATTTCCTCTTTCTCGTTTGGGAATTTACCAAGAGCTCCAAAGACAGCCTGAGGATGCCAACCCAGGCTCTGAGGTCCCCTCCTGCTAATGGGCCCCAGACAGATGCTGTTGGATAGACCTGAAGCTTCTGAGACGTGGCAGCTCGCAGAAATCTTCACCTGGTCCACCTGAGGATTTCAGTTCGCAAGTGATCTAGGCATGTTTGGTAAAGATGTTTTTGTGGGAGTTGTGTTTTTTTTTAAGAAGCATTATGCAAAAAGGGTCACTTTTAAGGGCATTTTAAAATTTTTAAATAAAGCCATCCTTTGGCTTTTTTGAACAGGTGTTTGTGGATACTTCGTTTACATTGTATGAGTATTAAAACATGCATCATCTTGACAGCAGCTCAGCCGCCTCCTCCAGGCCCCCAGACCTGGCTGTCCTGGGCGGCCTCACACAGCAAGGCCGTGGTGGTCAGCTCTCATGGGTAAGCGGGGAAAGCCTGGAGCTGGCTTCCATCTGTGTCCTGCACTCCCATCTGACACTCTGTATGGAAATAGTCGTCATTTCTTCAGTGGTTGTGTGTCTTATAGTGATGGTTGTCATGGTGAATGGCTAGTGTCGTTTTTTGGGGGGGTTTTTTGCTTTTTGATGGTAGGTGAGGTGACATTTTCGCTCTTTTAGCACCAATCCAACTTAACAGGATCTTGGACTTTGTTTTCCCTTCCAAACTAAAAGAACAAGGCATGTATTAGGCATAAATGTATTTGCTGCCCGACCCCCATATTAGGAAAAAGACTGCCACCAAAGCAGGAAGCTGCACACTCCTAACCCTCCCCCCAGGGCGTGAGGTTCCTGATGCCACGGAGAGCTACTGTACCTGTCCAGCCTGGAAGTGGAGGGTGACTAGGCCTGGCTCCTGCTGTGAAAAGAGAACTAGACTCATGTTCTCAGTGCCCCCAGAGATCTAGGACAGGATTTCTAAACTGGAATCATCCCTCATGGGCTGGACAATGCCCCAAGGGGTATATGACTAATGCTACCATCTGTGTCCTCATCTTGACCCTGGTGGCAGCATCCTGTCTACACACATGGAGCTAAGGCCCAGGGCTTGACTCAAGCTGATGACCTAACCTGAAAATTGGGTAACTGGCCCTGAAATGTTCCCTAATCGATCAGCCCACAAACAATTGTTTGGTTTTTATGTTTTACTGGATTTTGGTTTGCTTGGTATAGCTTAAGGTGCCTTTTAATTTTTTTTTCTTTCTACATTATTTTGTGGGACTTGTTCTAAATGTGGAAAACAAGTCCAAAAGACTCTCCCATTGACTGTTACCTTTACCCCAGGCCACCCCAAACTTTTATTCTCACATTTTATTAAAGCAGGTGCTCCCTGGAATCTCTGGGACCTTTTTGAGGCATTTGAAGCAGAATATAAAGAGTGGTCTCATCCCCTTCCTTAATCTTCCTGGTGGTTGGGATGTTCCACTTGTATCATAGATTTTTTTTATTACTGATGTGCTCCGCTGTTTTTAAATGTGAACTTGTGCGCAAATGTGCAGATTCAATGTTCTTGTTACAGACTGAATAAATTTTTATTTTGAAGATGAAACACGTGTACTTGATTGAGTGCAACAAAGAGGGGTGGGTGCTGGAGAAGGTGGAGGGATTGGAAGGGAACGCTGATAAACTTAAAGCACTTCTCAGTGACTGGTCTCCATCAAGCACACCCGTAAGAGAGAGCTGAGCTCTGGGAAAAAAATATATAACTTTCTGCCTCCCACAAAATTAAGACTGGGTGGGAAATAGGATCACTGAAGTTTATTTCAGACATTGTGGCTCCAATCAAGTGACCAAGCTGGGAACTTGCCTAGCCAAAGAGGCTCTTGCCAAAGCCACCACCTGAATGTTAGAATGAATAAGCAAAGGGACCAAAATTCCTCTGCCATCTGTGGTGCAGAGTGACTGCTCTGGGACAGCTGCTGTGACCTGCCCCAGCAGGGACTGGATTTCTTGGGTGGGTGACCTCTCTGGACATTGGTGAGAGCTCACAAGACACCTCAGATCACTCAAATGTCTCTAGAAATGGGGCGTGACTTTTCAAAGAAGTAAAAGCTTGAACCCTCTCCCATCGTTAGAAGAATCTGATGTCAAGGGTGGAGGAAGGGAGATAGGGCAGTTCTCTAAAACAGGCTAGGGGTGGAAGGAGAGGTTCCCCACTTCTCCCACCCCTTCACAGATCCATCATGAGATATTTAGTGGTGCCATTCATTACATACAAGGCAGCACTACTGTGTTGGGAAAGCTCATTTTCCAGTTTCCAAATTGCTAGCAAAATTTGCTGGTTTCCAGAGGAAACACTGACTTGAGCTGAAATTGTTGGCCTGCTTCATTCAAAATCGTCCGTATCAAGTGAGAGGGGCACACTGCTGGTCTCTGGCTGCATGGTGGTCTCAGAGTGCAGAATGATAAAGGCAAGATCATTTCACAACATATTCTAGGGGTGCCCAGAGTCCCTAACCAATCTAGTAAGTTTAGTCTTGGCTTTCTAGCCAAAGGAAATAGACCAAATCATATCTAAGCTGCCAGGCCACCTCTTCCAGAAAATGGCTTTATGAAAGATGAAATTCATGCCTATCTTCTACTTACTGCAGTTCGGAGCGCAGCTAACAGTTCAAATGGGTAATAAGAGAAAACACCAAGCCCAAGCGGCTTCTTCCCCTGATTGGTTCTTTGAACCTTGGCCCACTCACCGCTCCTCTAGACCTCGGCAGCCAGAAGGCTAGAGGGCAGGGCTGAGCCACACGCCAGGCCCAAGCAATACCTATGAATCCTGGCTCCTGTACCTGGAGAACAACCTCCTTTCCCAGATAATGGAACTGAAGACAGGGTGGGTTGAAAGGTTCTTGCCTCCTAGTCCCAGACCCTTCCCTTTAGAATGGAGTGCCTAGCTCTCTTTAAAAAGGAGGGAAGGAGAGGGGAAAGAAAAGATGCGCTTTCAGCATAGAAGGCAGCATGTCGGATTCCTTTTCTACCAAGTGGTACAGGGTTAGAAAGCACCTGACCCAGCTGTCTTCTTACAGCCCAGAGAGCTGCAAAAAGAGGGTGACTGAGCCAGGACTTGAACTCCAGTTTTCTAATAGTCCAGGTATTCTTTCCTACGAGCCACAAAGCGTAAGTCAACACTTGTGAGATAAAGTGGCACTGTCTTTCAAGGAGAGGCAGAAATGCATGGTGCTGAAAAACATGGACCTGGACACCAGACCCCTTGAGTAAGAATCTCAGCTATACCAACTACCAGTTGATTGATTGGTAAACTGCTCGACCGCTTTGTTGCTTCATCTGTAAAATAGGGATACTAATAATACCCACCTCAAAAGACTGTTATCTGAATAGAATTAATATGTGTTAAGCCCTTAAAACCGTGCCTGGCACATACGAGGTCGCACAATTAAGTTCGTGAACTCATCCTAGAAAAAGTGCTACATACCTCATTGCTGAATATCACTATGGTCACCTTTGAAGTACTCCCCTTGGGAAGCTATGCACCAAAGCCAGTGCCTAGTCCACTCTTCAAAGCACTTTTGGAACTCTTTCTGGAATGGCCATCAGAGCCGTTGTCGTATTAACCCTTGATGTTTTGAATGTCATCACAATGTCTTCCTTTCAGTATTTCCTTTATCTTCTGGTTAAGAAAGAAGTCATTGGGGGCCAGAACAGGTGAGTAGGGAGGGAGTTCCAATACAGTTATTTGTTTACTGGCTAAAAACTCCCTCACAGGCAGTGCCGTGTGAGCTGGTGCATTGTTGTGATGCAAGAGCCATGAATTGTTGGCGAAAATTTCAGGTCATCTAACTTTTTCATGCAGCCTTTTCAGCACTTTCAAATAGTAAACTTGGTTAACTGTCCGGTTGGTACAAATTCAAAATGAATAATCCCTCTGATATAAAAAAAAAGTTAGCAACATCAGTGCATCTAGTTCGCAAACTTAATTTTCAGACCTCGTAAGTGTGAGCTCTTGTTACTAAGGAGCAACTTGGTCACTCAGGTCTTTTCCTCCTAATCATGTGCCTGGAATCTTTAATAGAACATGTACCCTTAAGGCCCCTCATACCATGAATTATTTCTGGAGCAGCAGTAACGGTTTCTGATTCTGTTCCCCTACCAGCTGCTGAATACTTAGAAACAAAGGAGCCTTGTGGGTGCCTTCAAGGTTCCCACCACCTTCCCTCCCCTTTCCTCCAGTGCTGATCTCTGCCCTGGGGAAGGCTGTGTTCCATTGATTCCCGGCTGTGCCCTGGAGAGTGGGAAGGAAACTGGCCCCATGCTGCCCTCCCCGGCCTTATGTTCCAAAGGAAGAGAGATCCAGGCAGGGGGCGGGCAGTGGTAGACTGCAGCTACAGAGACGAGTTGTTCTTCACTGGCTTTATTTTTATCAGGTTTCTTTTTATCTCCTCCTTAACCTTGGTCATACTCAGATCCGTGGGTCCTGAGGGGAGTGAAATTAGGCGAGGTCTTCCCTGGAACAGAGTCTGACACCTATTCAAACAAGGCCCAGAAGACTTTAGGAGTTAGGCTGGGCATCTAAAATTTGATCGGCCAAATACCTGTGCCAGCAGCTTCCCTTTGAACAAGGGGGTCAAGGTGGGTTCACTTATCTCCTCCAGCGCATCTTCAGGGACCTCAGCGCAAGGGATCCGGGCTTGAGTCTCGCAGCTCCGGCCCCATGGGCCGGCTAAATTGGGAGTGCGATTGCAGCAGGAATGCGGCGCGAAAGCACCTGATCTTAGCGCTGCTGCTGGATCTAAGAGGAGCACGCCCCCTCGTCGGCTCCCTCTCTTATCGCCCAGCTCTGGGTCTGGAAACCTGGACCTCCCCAGCCCACACGCGAGGCGTCGAGGGCAGGGAAGGGGTGCGCACACCCCGCGCGCACGCACAATTACTTTTGACGATTTCCGGACGGCTGGCCGCGCGGAGTCCGCCCCTCTCGACTTTCCCGCCGCTGGAGGGAGCGGGGCAGCTCTGGCTCCGCCCCCTGCCTGGACCCCGCCTCCGCAGGTTGATGGCAGCGGCAGCTGGGACTGCAGCGGCGCCTGGCCCCGGAGAGCCGCAAGCAGCGGCCGGAGCGCGCAGCCGAACACCCGGGCTTCAGACGCCGCGGACACCCACAGAGGCAGTTCCGGCGCCCTGACGCCTCTCTCGGCCCCAGCGCGCCCGCAGCCCCCTCCGCAGAGGAGTCAGCGTGAGCGCCCCTCGGCCCGCTCAGGACCAGGTATCCCCCCGCCCCCCACGCCGCCACCGCAGAAAGCGGAGCGGGCGGGGTCTCTGGAGGGGCCACCGGTCTGCGCCCCCTCCCCCTGGCCGCCAAATTCGGTCCCTGGCTGGGCAGACTTGGTGCCTATATTTGGACGGAGAGCGGCCCGCGCGCCCTCAGGGCGCAGACACGATGTCTCACAAGAACGCAGTGCCGGGTCAGGAGGGTGCGGGGAGGCCAGGCCTCAGGCCTGGGGCTGCAGAAGCGTCATGAAGGGCACGGAGATGCTCGGGGCTGGGGAGGGGCAGGAGTCAGTGGCTCAGGCTTTGGAAGAGCTCCTTGTGCCCCAGGGGAAGAGCGTCAGGCAGGCCCTGGCTGGAGAAAAGGCACCTCGCCCTCCCCACTCCCTCAAATCTGGCCCTGGCCCCGCGGGTGGAGGGCCCCACCCTCAGGAGAGTTTAGTAGGAGACAGATCCCAGGGGAGAAGTGGGACCCGAAGTATGGTAGTCAAAAGCCAGAAGACCTGGTGAGGGCCTTTTGGCGAAGCCTGTGCAGAGAGGAGTGGAAGGAGGAGAGATCCACCTTACCCTGTGTCCCCCCAACACCAGGAGAAAAAATGGATGAAAACAGCAGGAAGGATTCAGGCTGGCTTCAGGCTAGCTGACAGGAGAAACTTCTCCTTGACAAATTTTTTAAAAAGGCAAAACCCCCATCTGCCTGAACTGTGCCAGAGGCAGAGTTTAAGGATCTTTCCGGCGGGGTGGGGTGATGGTGGCTGCAGCACTAGCCCCATAGCTGGCCTTGAGCCAAGATCTGAGGGCCGAGGCCTCTGATTCTGGACAAGGTTCTTCTGGGAGATAAACTACTTCTGTGAAGAGATGCTCGTCCAAGGCAGGCAGTGGGAGGGCAACCTGGCATTAAGGCTCCTCCCCAAACCACTTCAACTTCCAGGAAGCTTTTGGGCCCAGTCAGGCTCCACTGCCCCCCACCCCAGTCCAGATCTTGAAGAAGTCAGGCCCCAAATCCTAGACCCTTGCATTAAAGGGTACTTTATACGTGGCAAAGAACTTCCCCATACTTTAATCACCTCGAAGAAAGCTCCTTGCTTCTAGGACTAGACTATATTAATTTATACCCACCTCCTGTCCAGATAACCCTTCTCACTTGCCACCCCCACACACTCTTCCTCCCTCCCACAGCTCACAGGACTAAGGACCAAAGGCATTTCTGGGCACTGAGACCCTCCATCTTTGCCCCCAGCCATGAGCCGGCGTGTGGTTCGGCAGAGCAAGTTCCGCCATGTGTTTGGGCAGGCGGCAAAGGCTGACCAGGCCTACGAGGACATCCGTGTGTCCAAG